AGGTCTAAAAAGGACTGAACCAGGACTAAAATCAGGACTAAACCAGAACAAACCAGAACTAAAACCATGAATAAACCAAGACTAAACTTGGACTAAACCAGGGCTAAAAATCTGGACTAAAACAAGATGTAAACCAGGACTAAAAAAAGGACTAAAATCAGGACTAAATCAGGACTAAACTAGTACTAAAACAGGACTAAAACCAGGATTAAACCAGAACTAAACCAGGACTAAAAGCAGGACTAAAATCAGGTTCTCAACCAGGCTAAACCAGGACTAAAATCAGGACTAAACCAGGACTAAAACCAGAACTAAAACCAGGACTAAAATCAAGTCTAAACCAGGTCTAAAGAAGGACTAAACCAGGACTAAAATCAGGACTAAACCAGGACTAAAACCAGGACTAACCAGGACTAAAACTAGGACTAAAATCAGGTCTAAAACCAGAACCAAACCAGGACAAACTAGAACTAAAACCAGAACCAACCAGAACTAAACCAGTACTAATCCAGGACTAAATCGGGACTAAAACCAGGACTAACATCAGGTTTCAACCAGGGCTAAACTAGGACTAAACCAGGGTTAAAAATCTGGACTAAAATCAGGTCTAAACCAGGGCTAAACCAGGACTAAATCAGGAATAAATCCAGTCTACAGGTCCATCACCGCGGCGACGAGACTTCAGACGGACTCATGTGTGAGATTTACACCAGTTTAGGACGGAGATTATTTTTACATTTAATTTTAGGCTCTTTTACTAATTTAATCTCACTTCTCTTGTTTTAGAAGATGACTTTTTAAACAAAAAAAAAAACAGGTCTAAACCAGGACTTAAACCAGGACTAAAATCAGGACTAAAAACCAGAACTAAACCAGGACTAAAACCAGAACATTGTAACTGCCACTGCTGCTTTTACCTCAGACAATGTGGACAAGTTTTTTTGTCAGAAAAATCTGAAGATTGAAGGGCCTTTCTCATGCAAAATCAACTTTTTAGTAGAGTTTTCTACCTTCTAAAGCTGCGTTCAGACTGCAGCCTGAAGTGACCCAAATCTGATTTTTTGTCTCTATGTTCCTGTATCTGATCTTTTAATGTCAGTCTGAACCACACAGATCAGATTTTTTCAAATGTGACCCAGGACACTTGGATATGTGCTCCTGAAACTGATACATATCTGATCTTTTGACATGTGACTTCAGTCTGAACGGACAAAGTGCATTCATCCACCTACACGTTATCAACAAGACACAAACGTCACTATTCTGCGCTGAAGCAGGCGGAAACCGGAACTGTAAAATCTCCAGGTGCTCAATGCTCGCGACCATGTTTGGACAACTTCCGTAAACACACTAGAGATGCGCGGATGGGCTATTTTTTTCATCCGCAACCGCGACAATAAAACTCATCATCCGCCCGCTGTCCATTTTGCACCGAAGGTTTTCAAAACCGCACCCGCCGCCATCCGCCGATTGATTTTAGATTTTAGAACAATCATACAGCAAACAAACTAAGGAGCCTCGATAAAAATGCAAACTCTATAGCTCATTCATTCCAACATTCGCTCAGCGTGTTTGTTCGCATTCTTAATTGTCCGTAACAACCCCAGACTTACCTGGTTTTCTTGCGCAGCTAATTAATTGACAACGTTTTCCGACTAGGCTGTTTTTGAACCTTCTTGCCTTCGTGTTGGATGTTGTTACATTCTGAACATTCTGCCATTGCCCGATGTTATTTCAAAGTCGTAGCCTCACTCCATCGGTCTTTCTTTAAGTTTTAAATCCCCCGAGTGGCAGTCTACGCTATAATGTCTGCGTGTTTTAAAATATATCTGATATCGAAATGGCCCTATAGCCACTTACGTGTTGGCAAACAGCTGAAATAAATTAGAAATAATAAAATAAACTGCATATAATATGTGCCTCGTAAACCTTAGGCATCAATAACCCGACACAACCTGAACCTTCAGAACATAAAACGAGGTCAAATGGGCTAATTAAGGACATGACGTACACTTCATACTACAAGCATAGACAATGACACTCGTCTTTTCAGATGTAGGTAACAATACTAACATTTATTTTTTTTATTTTATTTTTTTTTAGTAGTTATTCCGCCACCCGCCCGAATTTAATTAAAATATAATTTTTCGTCACGTCATCCGCCCGACCCGCGGATTAACCGCGGATACCACGGTTGTAACCGCAATCCGCGCATCTCTAAAACACACACACGCTCGCTGCGGTTGACGCATGGGGTTGACGTCGTCGTGTCTCCAGTGTCACATGTGAGACACTTTCGGGCCGTTTATCGTTCACACTGAAGACACAGACAAGTCGCATTTAATTGGAAATGTGAACGACCTCGCAAAAACATCGGATTTCACAAAAAAATCGGAATTGAGCGTTAAAAACACAACACGTGAAATTTTCTGGAAATTTGATGAAATGGCGTGGAATGACCCATTGATTTTATTTTCCTGTTTGTATGATGTTAAAACAAATTGTTGGTTTGATAAAAACACAAATAAACAACAAGTAAAAGGTTTTTTGTTCCAAAACTGAACCGAAAATGAACCGAACCGTGACTTCAAAACCGACGTACGAACCGAACCGTGATTTTGTGAACCGTTACACCCCAAATAACACTATTCCCTCGTTAAAAAAAAAAAAAAAAAAAAAAAAAACATGTCTGAAGAAGTTCACCGCAACTTCACAAACCCGACACGATGCGCATTAGTGTTTTATGGAGTTGGCGCCGAAAGCGAAGGAAAAGGAAACTCAAAACTGCGTCAAAACCCTAAATTAAACCTGTAAAACCTGTTAATACGCCGTTTTCGCCGATTTTTCGCCGCGTTTCCAGAACAATAAAAGGTAAACTCCGCCGTTAATACCTCGTAGAAATAAACTACCTCGTCTTTAAGTAATTGCCGGGTTTAAACTGTTATTTCGGGCTCTTTACTTTCCTCCGCCACATGTGTTTGGGGAAAGTCTGACTAAAACGTAATTAAAGGCGCGAACCCGGTTTGGCCTCGTCGTCACGTCTTTTACACCTTCCCCGTCTCGTAGCCGCGGTAATTACTCTTTAAATACTTTCGCCGTCGAGTCTGCGGCTTCGTGTCGTCGTGCTCTCGTTACCGGGCGACGCGAGCGAACGGTTAATGCCCGCGCGGCGCTAATCCAATTGGGTTTTAGTGGCGCGGCGCGGTCACTCCGAACAGGTCGTAATGGTTTGTGTGTGAACGGCAAACACGTCGTAAATTAGCGGGAGTCGGGCGGGAGTGGAAGCAGCTGGGCCGCGCGGGTCGAGCGGCTGTTCAACGCTAATGGAGGAACGGTTCACTAGCGACGCGGACGTGCGGGGCTTTAAAGTCTTTAAGAGGCTCACGGGAACGAGACGAGGCGAGTTTCACTCTGGTTTTAAGAAAGGTTCATAAAATGGAAATAAAGTGGGTTTGGTGAAAGGGTCGGTTTATGGCGGTAAACACGACTGGAACAAGGACTAAACCAGGACTAAACCAGGACTAAACCAGGTCTAAGGACTAAACCAGGACTAAACCAGGTCTAAACAAGGACTAAACCAGGACTAAAACCAGGTCTAAACTAAACAAGGACTAAACAAGGACTAAACAAGGACTAAAGGACTAAACAAGGACTAAACTAGGACTAAACAAGGACTAAACTAAACAAGGACTAAAACCAGGACTAAACCAGGACTAAACCAGGACTAAACTAGGACTAAACCAGGTCTAAACCAAACTGATTCAGGACTAAACCAGGTCTAAACCAGGTCTAAACAAGGTCTAAACAAGGACTAAACAAGGACTAAACAAGGACTAAACCAGGTCTAAACTAAACAAGGACTAAACAAGGACTAAACTAAACCAGGACTAAACAAGGACTAAACCAGGACTAAACCAGGACTAAACAAGGACTAAACCAGGACTAAACCAGGACTAGGACTAAACCAGGTCTAAACCAAAACTGACTTAAACAGGACTAAACCAGGACTAAACCAAGGACTAAACCAGGACTAAACTAGGACTAAACAAGACTAAACCAAAACTGATTCAAGGACTAAACCAGGACTAAACCAAGGACTAAACAAGGACTAAACTAAGGACTAAAACCAGGACTAAACAAGGACTAAACTAGGACTAAACCAAGACTAAACCAAAACTGATTCAGGACTAAACCAGGACTAAACCAGGACTAAACAAGGACTAAACTAAGACTAAACCAGGACTAAACCAGGTCTAAACCAGGACTAAACCAGGACTAATCTTGGACTTCAGAGTGAGATTTTATTTATTTATTTTATTTTTAATTTTTTTTAACCGTCCTTTATTTTCTGCCTCAAAAACATTTTGTATTGAATTCCAACCACATACCAATACTATTTCATTTTTTTTACATTATATATACATACTGTTTACACTATTTACACTATTTTAGGGCGACCAGATTTCAAAATCAGAAACTGGGTGGTTGATAATAATAAAATTGTGAAACGAGAGCGTAATTAAGGAAAACTGTTCTGGGTATGACTCAGTTTTGCCACATTTTCTTAGTGTTTTGGTCATTTTTAAGCATCGTTTCTGTACTTTACTTAAACAAATTATAATGAATGCCTCTCTTTACTGTTGCAGGGATCAGACTGATTAAAAATAGAGACACCTGGGACAATTTCTTGAATAAAACTGGGACAAATCAAGGTTTGCAGCACCATCTACAAAGTAAAGGGTGGACACTCTGAGGATCAGCGTATAATATAAATGTCTTGCTTTGTATATTTTATGTTTATGTGTTTATATAAAATGTAGGAAGTAGTAAACATCAACAAAAAGGACAAAACCAGGACTAAATTCAGACTGACCAAAAGTTTCTGTCGAGGAAAAGTGTCACAAATATAAATTCTGTAATAATAATCTAACCGCGTGTGTGTTTGTTTGTGTGTTTGTTTGTGTGTTTGTTTGTTTGTTTGTTTGTTTGTCTGTCTGCAGGGTACGAGGGCCGGGGCGTGACTCTTCTGGAGGTCTGTGGGAGTTGGCCTGAGACCTTCTCGGTTCCTCGTCATAACCTGGGCTCCACAGACGCCAGCGACGAGGGTCTGAGGGAGAGACTCGCCGACGCCATGTCAGAGTCTCCGTCACGAGACATCACCGGCTCCGCCACAGGTCAGAACAACCACACACCGAGACTCAACACGTGTGGCAGGGTTTAACGGGATTATAAACCTGGTCCACCTCTCAGGATGTTTTTTGCTACTTTTTTTTCACTATTATTTCCTGTTATCTTCTATCTTGGGCCATCATGAGTTGATAGGGAAAAGCTATTTGCAAAATTAGGGCGGCAGTAGTTCAGTTGGTGGAGCATTCGCCCACTGATCTGAAGGTTGGTGGTTCGATTCCAGTTCTCGACATAAACATCACAGGTTGACTGGTGCTGTGATTCCAGCTCCCACAGATGAATGCTGTTGTTGTGTCCTTGGGCAAGACACTTAACCCACCTTGCCCACAGTGTCTGTGTACACTGGTGTGTGAATGTGTGTGTGAATGGGTGTGTGGTTCCTTGTTGTAAAGCGCTTTTGAAGGTGGAAAAGCGCTATAGAAAAATGTCACCATTTACCATTTACCACTACGCTACATTATGATTCAGATCTGTGGAGAGTCGCAGAAATAATTATTGTATTTTAGAAGAAAACACCCATCATGAATATATGCATATGATTAATGTCATACATGGAACATTCCAGCCAAATCAATAACATCTCCATGGAGACAAGTAGGTAGTAGACCCTCCATCAGAAAAGTTGCACAGTGCACCTTTAAGTACCATAATTTCCTCCTCAAACAACCAAATGTCATATCTTATTTTGCCAGAAAGCAACTTACCCTAACATATTTGAAATGTGATTAATGTATTACTTTATTAGCTCCTGTTTCTTTTCATCAATTCTCCTGGATATGTTTGAAATATGAACTTTGAACAGAATCCTATTATTAGGCCTGTCATGATAACGCATTTTGAAGTTTGTTATATTCCTGACATAGACGATAAATGATAATATTGAAACTAATTTATGCCATTGTCACCATAACTGAAGAGAAAACTACTGTAAATTTTCAATATTGTTAAAAGAAAAAAAAAAAACATGAGCTGCAATAAAAACAACAGAATGAAACACTTTTAGTAGCCCAAAAAAATACAGACAGTAAATATTGAGCTGGTGTGTGAATGTTCCTTGTTGTGAAGCGCTTTGAGTGTCTTGAAGGTGGAAAAGCGCTATAGAAAAATGTGACCATTTACCAAAATGCGGCAAGGTGGCTGAGTGTTTAGCACTCATGCCTCACAGCAAGAAGGTTCTGGGTTCGATCTCCAAGTCGCCCTGGGCCTTTCTGTGTGGAGTTTGCATGTTTCTCCCCGTGTCTGGATGAGTTTCCTCCGGTTTCCCCCATCAACCCAAAACATGTCACATGTCTCCAAGAACAGTTGATAGTCAAGTTCAGTTAAACACAATCAATCAATGAACCTGTCCAGGGACGACAGGTGGAAATTAGCTCCTGTCAAGGTTAATGTGAAAATTGTGCGCTGTCCCTGTCTCAAATAAATAAATAAATGAAATGAAAATGATGTAACTGTAAATATTAAGGTACTGTAACTTCATACATGGTCAAATAACCCTCAGATTTGGCATGGTGGATCCTGACACATGGGGGAAACTAGCAGAAAAATATTCTGGGGCTTCTGCCTTTCTACTGTCAAATATCACCCTCAACATACACCAAAAGACAAAAAAAATGTCTGTCCGCCTGACAAATTGCCATCAAAAGTGATCATTTTCAAGCATTTTATTCTATTTATCACTGCCTCAAATGTACATGAAAAACTTCCCATGTTCATAAGCTTCAGTTTAAGCCCAACACGACCTTTTGTATCTAGAGGGAAACAGCTGCAACGATCAAAGTTCTTCACTGTTCCTCAAATCGGCAGGAAGCAGAACTTTCAGGCTTTACCATTACTTATGGGGTTGAGCAGGATTTTTTTCACAGAGACAATATTTTAAAAGAGTTGACTTATGTATTTCTATACTTTATGAAGTGAATTACATTAAAAGTGAATAATATTAAAAGTCCAGGTGAACAGGGGTCAGGGTCAGAGAAAACTATGGTGACCAGGTTACACATACAAACACACACAACACACACACTGACCAGCGAACAAGTCTGACCCTTCATGCAACAAACATCCCATCAGAAGTTATTTTACAAAGACAATTTTGAGAGAAGTTGATCATTTTTTCTGGTTAAAAGAAGAGATTGAGTCTGTTGGGAGACTGGTGTCCGTGACTTCTAGACTGAACATGAACTATTGTCAGATTGTTAGAAAACAACCAACCCAATGGAGCAACTGGTGAGAGGGGGGGGGGGTCCTGGTTTAGTCCTGGTTTAGTCTTAGTTTAGTCCTGGTTTAGTCCTGGTTTAGTCTTGTTTAGTCCTGGTTTAGTCCTTGTTTAGTCCTGGTTTAGTCTTGTTTAGTCCTGGTTTAGTCCTTGTTTAGTCCTGGTTTAGTCTTAGTTTAGCCCTGGTTTAGTCCTTTTTTAGTCCTGGTTTAGTCCTGTTTTAGTCTTCGTTTAATCCTGTTTTAGTCTTAGTTTAGCCCTGGTTTAGTCTTAGTTTAGTCCTGGTTTAGTCCTGGTTTAGTCCTTGTTTAATCCTGGTTTAGTCCCGGTTTAGTCTTAGTTTAGTCCTGGTTTAGTCCTTGTTTAATCCTGGTTTAGTCCTGGTTTAGTCCCGGTTTAGCCCTGGTTTAGTCTTAGTTTAGTCCTGGTTTAGTCCTGGTTTAGTCCTTGTTTAATCCTGGTTTAGTCCCGGTTTAGTCCTGGTTTAGTCTTGTTTAGTCCTGGTTTAGTCTTGTTTAGTCCTGGTTTAGTCTTAGTTTAATCCTGGTTTAGTTTTAGTTTAGTCCTGGTTTAGTCCTTGTTTAGTCCTGGTTTAGTCTTAGTTTAGCCCTGGTTTAGTCCTGGTTTAGTCCTTGTTTAGTCCTTGTTTAGTCCTGTTTTATTCCTTGTTTAGTCCTGGTTTAGTCCTGGTTAAGTCCTGGATTAGTCCTGGTTTAGTCCTTGTTTAGTCCTTGTTTAGTCCTGGTTTAGTCCTGGTTAAGTCCTTGTTTAGTCCTTGTTTAGTCCTTATTTAGTCCTGGTTAAGTCCTTGTTTAGTCCTGTTTAATCCTAGTTTCTCTTGACTCTGTGTTTGTCTCCGTTTTGAAAACATCACATTCAGAATCCAAAGTTTGGACACATGTCTGCACCGTCCTCCCTCCGTCTCTGCGATCTCTCTCTCTCTCTCTGTGTGTGTTTGTGTTTGAGCAGAACGTTTGCGTCGTTTCACACGCCGTTACCCGACGCGCGGCGGCTCCCCGGCCCCGCTGGACCCGGGCCCGGTTCCGAGAGTCTGCTGCGGCATTAGATTAAGCCCTGACCCGTCCGAAGCGCCGTCTCTCCTCCTCCTCGAACTCGCCTGCGCCTCTATTCTCATCTAATGTGATCAGTAACGAATTTCGCGTAGCATTAAAAGCGGCCGGCGGGGGGCGGGGGGGCCGCACGCCAACGTCCGGGAGTCCACAACGCGTAATCTAATGAAGAGCCGGGCTAAAGAGAGCGCGCTAAATGAAGTTACAGTACACAGAACCCGACCGGACGCTCTCGGGGAGGGGAGGGGTCGATGCTAAGGCTATTAGGGCTGGAGCTGACCCCATCCCGACGGCAGCGCTCCTCCACAGACATGTTTAAATCAAAGACGCTCTTGTTCACTTAGAGAGAGAAAGAGGGGGGGGAGGAGATGAGGAGGGAGGAGGGGGAGAGACGCTTCCTAAATGGGTTAAGCTTTGGGACAGTAAAAAAAAAAAAAAAAAAAAATGAGGAGGAGTGAGGAGAGATGTCAGAGAATCGACAAACGGAAGACGAACGGCGGCGGAGGAAATCCTCTGCGATCATTTTATTTTACTGTTCGTTCCCGCGTCAACACGACGTCAGGGTTTACAAAAAGGGTTTAACCGAAACTAAAGCGGAGCGAGACGTTTTATTTAATACGGTTTACGGAGAATAAATGTCACTTACACCGCTGGATTTTCTAAGATCAGTATTGAAAACGAGAAACGCGATAAAGATCCACTGCCCAACCTCATGGATGATAACAAATATAATACGAACTATATGACTTTAAAGATGTACTACACAGTCCTGCAGAGTCCTGGTTTAGTCCTGGATTTAGTCCTGGTTTAGTCCTGGTTTAGTCCTGGTTTAGTTCCTGGTCCTGGTTTAGTTTCCTGGTTTAGTCCTGGTTTAGTCCTTGGTTTAGTCCTGGTTTTAGACCTGGTTTAAAGTCCTGGTTTAGTCCTGGTTTAGTCCTGGTTTAGTCTGGTTTAGTCCTGGTTTAGTCTGGTTTACCTGGTTTAGGTTTAGTTTAGTCCTGGTTTAGTCCTGGTTTAGTCTGGTTTTAGTTCTGGTTTCAGTGTTGTGCATGAACACGTTCATTTTTCAGTGAACTTTGAACTGAACACAACACTTTTGTAAATCAAAAACTTGAACGTGAATTTGTTTAAATTATTTGAGATGAACGACGTACTTCACTGTTGGTGTTTAATTAAACATCATAATTTGACGTGTGTCGATCTACTCGGAACGTACAGACTCTGTGTTTCTCAATGGGAAAGTCGATCAAACGTGACTGGGTGTGTTTAGCTGCTTGTATTTCCTTCTGTACAGACTCACCACGGCAAACGCCAGGATTTCAAAAGTAAATTTTAAAGCACTAATGAAGCGTCTTTGTGGAGCTGGGCTCTTTCACACGACACAGAACTGCCCAGGAGCACGTTGTGCTGATGGTAAACGCACAAATACAACAGTAGATCCATGCTCTCTGTGGATTTTGACGGGGATATGCGCCTATGTTCGCGTAGAGCAGGGGTGTCCAAACTTTTTTCATCAAGGGCCACTTATCTAAACACAGATGAAGCAGAGGGACGATCGAGGGCTGTAGACTGATGCTCAATACAGGGAATAATTGAAATATGTGCATGTTTAACACGTTTTGAACATCAGATTTTTTCCAAAAACTTGCATTGATGCAAGATATGGGCCAATTAAAAGGGCCAAAATGTGTCCCGGGCCGTAGTT